GCAGCACCCGCTGCTCTTGTAGCAGAACTCTGTGAGATCAGTAAAGGCAAACCCTGCCTCCTACTGATCTCCTGAGTGTGTTGATGCTTTAGCTCAGCAAATGTGGGGTTGTTTTGTTTGCTTTCTACACCATGAGTACAATGGTAGAGTTTGGGGTCAAGCATGTCTATGCATTCAACCCAGAAATCAGTTTGTTTCCCGTAGGAATTTTTTTTTGCCACAAGAACATAAATGCGAGTGCTGTGAATGTTCCCTTTGAGTGCTGGGGTAGCTCCTGAACTACCGAATCCAGCCCAAATTTATGTCTTTTGTCCAAAAGTGTTATTTGTAGCGGGTAGGAATGGGGTTGCAAAAGTGAGAGGAAGCTGAGAGATTTAATTGTTTCTAAAGATGTGGTCCTTCCTCGTGGAGCTTAATTCCAAGCAAAGATAAGAGGTAATGCGGGTGGGTGGACAAGGAGGGTAACGCACCAGGGCTTGTGATGTGGGTTTGTTGACTGGATCTCCTGGTTACGGGATATTCTAGCTGAGGCTGTGTTGTGCCTCTTAAAGGAGAGCCTGCTGCATAGCTGCAAGAGCATGTTCCTCACGGTGGGGCAGTTTCAGAGCCGTGCAAGGTGGATTTGTGTGCTCAGTTTCTGGGAATGAGGGCTCTGTTGTAACAACTCGTTGGCTCTGTGCGGGATACGCCGTGCAGAAATCTTCACTATGCAAATCTTCCCTGTGAAATTAAAATAATAATGGAAATTAAGCCTTGTTTGCAGTCATTTGTAGGCTGCTTTTGAAATATCTGTTGCTTTCATCTTATTGATTCATTTTATTGATTCATTTTTATTGTAGCCACTAACACGGTTTCAAATTGTAAGGGGGGGGAAAATTCCAGAAGGCAGAGGAAGGGTGTGTGTGTGAAAGAGATGAAAGATTGATGGAGAGATTCTTGGTACTGTCCTTGTAAATCTGTTTTGCATCTAGTTAAGGAGATAAGCTTATTACTTCAGATAAGAGTATCTTCCAAAATAGTGTCATAATAAGCTTCTGTTGCCTCACAAGGTGAGGTTTTGACTGCTGAGCTGGACAAAGAGCAATGTCACCGTGCCTGAGGAAGCACCAGGCAGGCAGCAAAGTGCTGCCCAGGCCCCACCAAATTTCATCCCAAACAGCCTGGCCAGAAGCTGCATCTCCTCTGCTTAATGCAGTTGGCCTCTGTTTTTAATTCACCAAGACACAGCTCTTGTTTTACTGTTCCAGGTGTTACCTCTGGGGTGGTTCTGCACTTTCAGGCTTACATAGCTTCCTAAGTTAAAAAAACAAAATACATTTCTAACACAAACTGCAGTTTCCAAAATAATGCATTGAGTTTATTGTTCTAGGATGCTGATTTTCAACTGCCCAGGATCATACACTGCAGTGAGGAGTTCATAAAGTTCAGCTGGAACACAGCATGTTAAATTTTGGAGCAAAAACCAGAGTCATACAAGAATTTACCAAGTGAGGTGCATCTTAGTGACAGTCCTCACTTCCATATGTTTTAGCATAGAATCATTAAGGTTGGAAAAGACCTCTAAGATCATAAAGTCCAGCTGTCAACCCAACACTCCTGTAACCACTAAACCATGTCCCCAAGTGCTACATCCACATGTTTCTTGAACCCCTCCAGAGCTGGGGACTCCAGCACCTCCCTGGACAGCCTGGGCCAATGCCTCACCACTCTGCCAGGGAGGAAATTCTTCCTAAAATCCAGTCAAAACCTCCCCTGGGGCAACTTGAGCCCATTGCCTCTCATCCCGTCACTGATTACTTGGGAGAAGAGACCAACCCCAGCTCACTCCAGCCTCCTTTTAGGGAGGTGTAGAGAGCAATAAAGGCAACAGCCACCTTTTGATTTTTAACATCTCTGCATACAGTACAGACAGATTTGTTTGAGACTAACAGTCTGGGAGGCTGAAGGTTTTTCTTCCCTCTGTTGATCCCTGCAACCACCTGAAGGTTAGGTGAAGGTCAGATTAACTACTTATTAGCCAAAAATCTGTTACTGCTAAGCAGTGGAACAACAAATATATAAGTCTTTTTGGCTCTGTTCAGGACTTAAATTTGAGAGAAACTTGTGGTGCTTAACACGGGGTTTGGGACATGTTCTAGTGGCCATGGGAGTGTTGGGTTGGTTAGACTTGATGATCTTGGAGGTCTTTTCCAGCCTGAATGGCTCTGAACACATGAAGGGCACAGATACTGTGTGCTTTCCCCTTATAGAACGTCCTTTCTTTTTCCCCCATCACTTTTAGGCTGTAACAGTGCAAAAGTGTGCAGAAGTCATATCTCTTTCTCAAAAGTACCTTTTTCCACCCTAAAAAAGGTCAGATTTTAAGCCAGATGTCATCAATGTTTGACACCTGTTGCCATCTTAGAAAATCTGTGATTTTAATGAAAACTTAAGATCTTGCATCCTCTACTGGAGGGACTTTGGTTTGTTTAATATATTCATTTTTTTTAATTACCATTATTTTTTTATCAGGGTTTCAGCCATTGGAGCCATCAGGTGGTAGGTTTAATTCTTTGGAAGCCTCCTTTTCCAGACTGATTCTCTGTTGGCTTTCCAGTGGTTTTGCCCCACTCCAGAGCGTACCAAAATTGTAGCGTTTCTTTTGAGGCTTGACAACACTAGATCTTTTTATGAATGGCTCCCTCAAATGTCCCTAGGGGTTTGGGAGACTTGATTTCTCTTCCTAAATCTGTCCTTCCACAGTATTTATCTTACTTCCCTGTCTCTCCTAGTAAAAAGCTGGTTTTTGGAATTGTTTCATACATCTTTTTAACAAATAGCCCTTATGGTTTTAGATACAGGTAGGAGTGCATCAAATAGACGTAATGTAGGGTGACTGACCAAGAGAAGTTGCTGAAGAAACTGAAATGAGGTAAAAAGGGCAATTTCACAAGGTATGTAAATGTTATTTTACGTCAGGTGAGGTGTGTTACAGCATGTCACACGCACAAAATTCAACCCATTTTTCCTACCCATGCTAAACCTGTGGAATCCTGTTTTGCCTCTGCTGTGCGTAGATGGCTTATTTTATCAGTGTCCTTCTGCTTTTGACCTGAGACTGGGGAGAAATTTTGTTGTGCAGAAGTCGCTGAGGAATAGTGTTCCTATCTGAGGGAGTTCTGACAATGCTCTGGAGTTTGTGGTGTTGGGGTGGATCAGCTGGGAGCTCGCGGGCGCGGTGGCGGCGGCTGCACCAAAACCTTCCTCTGCTCCTCGTCCCATGAAGAGCGAGGGGACACTTGCTGGGCACGAGCTGCTGGTGACATCAGGACAGATGTTCAAGCAGCTGTCACGACAATGGGGTGGATCAGGGTGTGCTTAAAATGCTGAAACTGCTTCAGAAGGAGAAGGGTCTGTTCGCGCTGGAGTAAGTGCAGGATGGGCATAGCTTCAAGGGATGTTGTTGCATTAAAAAGCCTTTTTTGAAAATTAATCCAGCCTTGTTTGTAACCTTAGTTTTTTTTTCACTTAAAAGGAACAAAAGACAAATATTTCAATGCAACTTTGGCATAAGAAGAGAGTGCAAAGCCAAAGTGGTATAGAGCTGGTTGTCTTGGGACTGGAGGTGAGGGGCAGAGAGAAGGGAAAAGCTGCTCAGAAGACACTGAAGAGATGATTAGGTGTTGAAGGCAGAGGAGCTACCTGAAGCTTTTCTTCATGGAGGCCTGGAATGTCACGGGAAAGGTTGTGGTGTCCTGGAGAGGTGTGAGGTGTCTGGGGAGTGCCAGGAAATTGATAGGAAGAATGATGAGGTGCTGTCAGTTCTAAGCCAGCATACCTGGGAAGTGACTGTCAAGGTTAATAAAGTGGCTTTCAGCAGAATAGCCAAGGGGGAGTTAGGCTGGAGGTGAGGGGAGGAAATGAGGCAAGGGGTTTGTATGAAGTAGAAAATGAAGCACAGAGTTTGTATCAAGTCATAATTTGTAGCCTTGGCCCTCAGGCAGCTTATCTGACCCTATATTATGCCTTGGCCCTCAGGCAGCTCACCTGACCCTATATTATGCTTCTGACAAAATCACATTTTGCTCCTCTTTTGGCCTCAGAAATATTTGGTTCTTGTCCAAATTACAGAATGCAAAGAATTAAGTAGTAATGGAAAGCAACCTGAGCAATGTTTTTCCTGCAAGCCAAGCTTTGGGATTACTGGTGGGGTTTTGGAAACAGAGCTTGAGTGTTTAGAAAAAGGAAATAATAAAGGGGGAAAACTATCAGGAAAGCAAAAATGCAGTAAGAATCTTCCTTCCTAAGCAGAGAAAAGGGATGTGAGGACAGCATTTGTGGAGGGGGAGGAAAGGGAAGGCAAAGACACACCACTGAGTTACTAAAGGAGATGGTGCTGGCTGGAATTTGGAGAACGGCACCCATTTCTGAGTGTGTGGGTCCAGGGATGAAAAGCAGAATGGGAGCAGCCAGCAAAATAAACTTGAGGGGTGGGGACGAGAAATGTAGTGGGAGGGGAGTGCAGTGAGTAGTAACTGTGCTAAGCTTTGGAAGAGGAAAGTGAAAAAAAATAACTCGAATTCTTTTAATATCAGGGGTTGGAGGTAGAAGTGGTGATAAATAAGGTCCAGTTTTATAGTTCTTGGCAGACTGTAAACATAGGCTGGAGTGAAAGATGGCTGCGAAGAATGGGATATTTTTGGAAAAGGTGAGGAAAGAGAACAATAGGGACACCCGAAAGCAAAGGAGGAAGGGGTGAAGGCAGAAAAAGTAAAACACCCAACCAGCCTGAGAGATGGGAAGAAAAGTGAAAGAAGTGAGCGTTTGGGAGGAGCAGGCAGTTGCCCAGTTGGGTCCTGTTAAAATAAAGAATTTGAATAAAGAACCATATGAAATTATTTTGAAAAACCTGAGCTGTAAAACTCTGAGAGCCATTTTCCGTAGCTCGGACTAAACCCCGACGACTCTCTGTGTGAAATCTCTCTTTTCCCAGCGATCCTTTTGCTGCACACCATGACTACATGCGGCAGGTGATGAGAGGCTTCCCTGAGCCTTTTGGCCGGGATCCATTTCTCTGCCTGACAGATGGCAGGGAGAGAACAGCAGATCGAAGAGCGTGCCAGGACTCGCGGCTTGCCCTGAGAGGAAATCGCAGAGTAAGTATTTTCTTAATCTCTGAGGATTGCTACGTGGAATTTACATTTACTGGTAACAGAGTTGGCTTCACAGTTCCATTAAATTTGGTCCTGTGGAAGCAGAGGCCTGGCTCAGCTATTGCAACCTTGGTCAGGTTGTTTCATCGCTGAGTAAAATGTGAATAATCTCTCTCTAGGTTCCTTAATGGCCTGTTACTTAGCAGGGACAAGCTCTTCTTAGGTCTAATAACAAGTCTGGATGTTATTGAACATTAAATATACACTGGTTAATGAAATAAACATACTTATCAAATGTTACATCATAAATATTATGTATTAAATCTTTGTTACAGGAAGGCATTAAAAATGTCCAATGACAGAACCTTCTCTAATGCTTATTTCCTTTTTATGCTAACTTAAAAAGGTACCTTGATACCTTTATGCCTTCGTTCTGCACTTCAGTATATTGTGTCTAGTTATTTATATTGGTTTGATTTAACACAGTTCTGTTTGGGTTCTAAATTTGGGTGTTCCAACCACCCAAATAGTACCTACACAGATGTTTTAAACCCTGCTTCAACTTTACAACTGTGAATAAAAGCTTCACATTCTCTATTTGGTCTGATACTTAATGTTTCTTCTAGATAAAAGACTGTAAGAATTTAAAGATCAGGGAAGTTGGTACAAAACCTAAAATTTCTGTAAATTGCCACTCACTGGCAATGATCTGTGTTTTACACAGAGGACCTTTTCAGCTCTCTGGGCATGCAGGACAATTACATCCTAGGCTTCTGTATCTAAACCTTATCTAGTTGCTGTATTTAGAAAGGATACACGTTGGTTCCTTGCCTTCCACCAGGCTGAATATTTTGCAGCTGAGTGTTCTCTTAATGAACTGCATTTGATTTTAAAAACCAGTTGGAAGACAAGCCCGATTACAAGGGCTTGTGGAACTCGGCCAGATTTGGTGGGGGTTGTTCAAACCTAGATAGTCAGAGCTTTAATAAACATAGCTGAGACCCAGACTATCACCTACAAGTCAAAAGGGTAACTGTCAGATTCCTTCCTCCCTGCTCATACATCGCCAGTTAGTTTCAAATATAGATGCTGCCAGCTCTAATTGGGGCGTGATCTTTCCTCTACTGAAGCAGATTGTTCAGCAGATGCCTAAAACCAGATCAGACTTTTTTCCTTTAGAAAAAGAACGTGTCAGACCCTAGGGATTTGTGTCCCTTGTTCTTGGCAGCAAGGGATAAATGTATGGCGTAGAAAACCTTTATCTGTGGTCACAGAAAGGAGTTAAAGGTACAAGAGCGCTGTGTTATTTTGATAAGCACAAAAGAATTCCACACCTGTCAAAGTCTTCCCAGTATCTTTTGATGTTGCTCAGGTTTCACCTAAGAGCTGTCGGATGTCACAGAAGAATCAACACTGATAACTACTTGTGGTCATCTCAAACTGCGTTTACTGTTTTTCCTCCAGAAATGACTCCAACACATAAAATAATTGGATTTTTATGTAAGGAAAGATGTATATCTCTACTACCATGTAAAATACACTTTGTTAAAATCACCCATCCTGATGAGTGATACTGTAGTTCTACGTTTAGTTAAACCGTAGCATGCCTAAAACTGCTTTACAAGGAACAGAATTTGTTGCAAAAGCTCAAAAGTGCATCAGCATAGCATTCACATTTGAAAAGGCTTTTTCTTTCTCAGGCAGTGTCAGTTTTCAGCCTCTTGGAGGGAGGAGAGAGAAGGAAGAATGGGATAAAACATCCAAAGAGATTTGGTTTGGTTTGGCTACCTGATTGTCCTCTATATTAGGCAACTATTTAATGGCTTTTAGTGCATATTATAAAGCAAAGTCTGTCCACTTATTATGATTAACAGTTTCATTTCTGAGGGTATCCTTTTGCATTTGAGATAGATATAAAAAATGTGTATTTTATTCTTTTCTATCACATCATTTTAGCTCTGCAGTCTGAATGAATTCATAAAAGATACAGCAGAATCAGATAATTCCTTCCTCTTGTACTTAAGGTTATTATAAAGTATTTGATACTTTTGTCTAAAGGCCTTTCTTTAGGTGGGCTTTTATATAACTCCCCAGTCTTAGTTTCCTGGAGACACCGGTGTGTTTTGCAGTGTCTCTCTGCCCTGTCATAGAGGGGTATTCAATATCAGTTGGTCAAACAGGAACTGTACTCGCTGGTGTTGATAGCTACATCTATTTATATAGCTGCAGAAGAATATAGCTTGCTCATGGGGGATTTGTCTTCGGGTGGTTCTGTATATGATGATAGATTTACCTAGAACTTCTCTGCAGTGACCTTTAAAACTGCTGACAAGTTAGACTTGGTTTTTATCACCTGGGATGTATGAATAGTTAGAGAAATATCTTTTATATTTACATTAATCTCTTGTAATACACAGAGAGTGCTTGTGAACAGGTCAGCTGCATCACTTCATTTTTTTAAGCTCTAAAGTTGCATGCCAGCCTTCTGAAATACAATGACATAATTTTATATTGAAGGTACTATTGATTTGTTCATTCGGTGGGATTCTGTTGCCTGAGTGGAACAAAGCATTTTCAGAGAAGTGGGAGATCCCTGGAGCACTGTGCCATGTTTTAAATAATTTTAGCACCAGGGTTGCTGTGCTGTACGTAGAGTTCTAGCTTTTAAATGATTCTAGTATGTACGTAGGAATATGATGTATTAAATTTGGTGATGGTTATCACCCTCCAGTATCATTAGTGTAAATAAATTACTGGTGTATATACCCAGAAACTACTTTGTATTATGATGTTGTAACACGCTGTGAATTGCCCAGTCCCTCTTGAGTGCCTATTTTTATTTGGTCAGAAACGTTAATACCACTTGCTCAATCTGAAAGCACACGATGGAAGTTTCTTCTGCCGTGCCTGAGAACAGGTACAATAACTAAAAGACGCTGATCCTTTTTCTTCCAGGCAACAAGCTGCTCCCTCATGCCCTTTGCAGGCTTCATGTCGGTTAGTATCCCAGGAGCAGTAATTCTTGTAGTATTGGCTGTGCAGCTAAAGCATGGGCAAAGGCTGGTCTCGGTGTGCTTGCAAACTGCTCTTCTTGGTGGTGGGATACACAGAACGAGAGAATTCAAGACAGATTTTTAGGTTTTCTTTATTACACGAAAACGCCAGGGTAGAGTAAATATGCTGGTAGCAAGATTGTTAAAGTCACTAAGCAGCTGCTTTTCTGCTCACGGTGTATCCCTTGGCTCGTGATCTCTGATGGGTATGAATGAAATGATCCCTGGAGAGAGACCCCAAACTTGGAGTGCTGCCCGCGGACGGACGCTCGCGGCTTGGGGTGTGTCTGTGCCCATGACACCGCCGGGACCTGCCGCGCAGGTCACAGCTACACCACCAGCTCCTGGAGACAGTCTCCACTGGAACTGGGCTTGGAATGGTTTTCAGCTGCAGTCTTTGGAGAGTCTGGCATGTAAAAGATGTATGAAGAGTACCTGAGAAAAAATTATTTTTATGACCCTCGTGGAGCTTTTTGCTTCCTCTGGAAGGCTTTAAAGAGTTCTCAGGTTGAAAACCAGTAGCTCCAAGAGAGGTTCTCACTTGCAGAGCAGATAAAACTAAGCATGGGTCTTTGAATTTTCAGCTCTAAAAGTATTGTTTAATTCTCTCTTCCAGAGGCACAAATTAGCAGCTTGCTGTATGCAGAAAGTGCATTAACAAAGCAGAGCTTTTTGGCTGTCAACTGCCCAGGCCATGATTTGGGTCCCCTATCCCAATCTATGGCATGTAGGCCATAGGTACAGCTGATGGTCATCAATCAACATCCAGATTTCTAACTCTAGGAAGGCAGCTTTCTGGAGTTACTGGCACTTGCAAGGATTTAGTGCCCAAAATTGTCTGCAAATACTGCCCAGAGGTTTTGGCAGCCCTGAAGGAGTCAGATTTCTTGCTCTTCAAGAAACAAATTGGTCACAATAGCAGCTGATTTTGATATTTGAGTGTCAAATCTTTCACTTGTCTTTCCAGTATCTCCAGCTTGATAATCAAGTTTTTCATTGGAAAAGATGCCTTTTGCCCTGTCTATGCCTGCGAGTTGCAGCCTTGTTGACGCTCTGATTTCCATATAAAAATGCATGTAAAAAAAAAAAAAACAGCTTTGGAATTTGAAGAGTCAGAAGACTTATGTTTTCATTTCTATGTCTTTTCTTTTAGCAGGATGTGGATTTTGGGGAACCTTTTTTCGCAATGGACATGATGATGTCAAACGTGAGAAACAGCATGCTGGAGATGCAAAGAAAGTTTGTAAGTTTTAAAAAAAGATAGTTCTAAAATCAATTGTATTGGCAGTCATTTAAAATATTGTTCAGAAGGTCCTGACGAGAGTCTCACGCAGACAGTAAGAACTTTTTTGTTTTTCCCCCAGCTATATTGTAGTTGTAATTCTCTACGTGGTCTCTGATTGTTTGCTAACAATAGTGCTTTAAGTATACACTTGATTCTCTAGAGGTTGGAACTGCTTTAAGTCATCTGGTCTCTGGCTCTTGCCAGAGCTGACACCTTAGGTGAAGGAGCCATTCAGATTGTTGCTGAACACTGAAAACCAACAAACCCCCAAACACCTCAGTGCCACCCTGTGTATAGACTTGCCTTTTATTTGCATCTGTCTTCAGAGGATTTGAAGACAATGCTGACACCTGTTAAGCACTGCTGACTACATTTATTTGGTTTTACTGGCCTCCTAAAAGGGCTTGTAACCGTTGTTGCTCAAGCCCTATTTCACCTGAACTCTTTACACACCCTATTATGTGCTGTATGTGGCAAGACCAATGTCACAGGTTGTACCTTCCTTACTAAACTCAGCTGTGCCAGGGCAAACCTTCAAGCAGTTTTTATTGCTGCCTGTGCTTCTATTTGTTGTGTTTCCTGGCCTGAGGAGACCTGGGGCCACGCAAGGCCTGGGCAAGAGTGAGAGTGTAGCAAACTCTTAAGGTCTGTTCCAGACAGACTGTATCTATGGTTCCAGGACTGCAGGTTAATTTTTCAGAGGGGTATTTTTTTTTCATAATAAGATAATCTCAGAATGTAAGCAGCACTCATTATCCACAAGTTTTAACTTTTATTAATAAGAGGTCTGTGTTGCTTGTAGGATGACCTGTCCATCCATCCAGATGCACACACGTTCAGCTCCTCCTCTGTGATGACATACTCCAAAATAGGGGATGAACCAGCAAAAGTTTTCCAAGCTTCAGCTCAGACACGCACGGCTCCAGGAGGTGTAAGTAGTGCTGAGATGCAGCAAAAAGGTGGCATGTAGTTATTGGAGTCTTAAGTTCGTCTGTACGAAACCACAATTTCCTTCAGGTTCTTTTTACTGCAGACAGTTACTCTTATAATTTAGAAAAATATATGTCTGTTTAAATATTGCTCTGTATTAAAGCCTTCTTGGGCTAAAGTGCTGTTTTCTTCCTTGTAATTTGTATACTTCTAAGTATGTACCTGAATAAAGCGTACGCCTATCAAAGGCTAGGAAAACTTAGTGCTAGAACAGCTGATTCTTCAATGTCTTTCTCTTGGCTATAATTAATCCTCCTCTTGTACACTTAAAATTCTGCCTAAAATATAAGATAGCAAGGGACAGTCTGTTTATGCAGAACGTGGCTTGAGCTCATCCCCTGTCCTCGAGCCCTTTCGAGCGCTTACGTAACGCCGGGGCTGGAGCTGCCCTTTCATTGACTTCCTCGCAGCTGTTGCATCTAATTCTGCCACGAAATTTGAATTTGAATTTGAACCCTGCAGCAAGGTTCATGAAAGACTATATGTGAGCCGTAAAGGCCCTTGAGCGTGATTGGCTCTGGGAGATGGTCAAGTTCAAGCAGACACTCAGTTATCAAAAAGTTCTAATAATATACCTATGAACACAGTGATAAGTGGTTGCCTGGGTTTCAAGCCAGTCAACATGACAACCTAGTGATGAGTTGTCCCTTCATGCTGAGGATGTTGGCATTGGCTGTTACTCGTTTTGTTGTCAAGGAGAATTTTGAAGACTTGTCTGCATGTGGTATATTTAGACCAGGCCTTTTTTTTAACCCCTCCCAACAATTAATATCCAGTAGGTACGTTACTTGAGAAGCTTTAGCTGTTCTTATTTAACCTTCTTGTCTGCTGGATGAAAAGAAAATAGACTTGATCTGTGCTTGGGTATATTTAAATTGGGAAAGCCTGTAAACCTGAACTTTTTCTAAACGAAACTATAAAACCTTTGGGGAAGAAGATGGAATTTTCTTTTAAAGTTTTTTAACTTTTTTCTGGTTGGAAGGACACTTACCTCCCTTTCTCCTACAGATTAAGGAGACAAGAAAAGCACTCAAGGATTCTGAAAGTGGCCTGGAAAAAATGGCTATTGGGCATCATATCCATGATCGTGCTCACGTCATTAAAAAATCAAAGAATAGCAAGACCGGCGATGAAGAAATGAACCAAGAATTCATCAACCTGGATGAAAGTATGTCTCTTTATGCAGCTCTCTAATGGGCTTCACACCCCAATTTTGAAGTTCCAACTTGAGACATCTTAAAAGGGAGTGTTTTTCAAACAGCCTCAAAGTCTGCAAATCAAGTTTCCTTACTTCATATCAGTTTGGACAACTTAAGTAACCAGTTAGGCTTGGAAATGTTGTTTAATGCAGTTGGTGTTTGCTGGTACAATAGCTGCTCATATTTGAAAGTACTTTTAAGGTTGTTTTTATGGGTTTGGACTAACTTCTAACAGAATTTTACTGTTTGCTGTTTGTAGCTGATACAGAAGGCACGTTTTAGAGATGTGTGGTTAAAATATGCACATACTTTTACAACACTGTGACTGTCAAGGTTTTCATCTTCCAAACGTAAGCCTGCTGTCAATAAGCTTTCAGTTGCCTTTCACACATCCCCTAGGAAGTTTGCAGGCCCTGTGGAGAATCATGGACCACAAGCTTAAAAAACACAGTTCAAGCCCCCTAATTTTCATCAAGTATTTTTTCCCATTTTGTTTGCATTTATTGTAAATAAAAGTAAAACTTTTGTTTTTCAGCTGAGGCCCAGACCTTTGATGAAGAGTGGCAGAAAGAGATTATGAGGTTCAGGCCATCTAGAACTAAGTGCAATTTGGAAACTCCAAAGTACAGAAGTATTCATCACATAACCAAGGATGGTGGAGTAAGAAGGTAAAAATAGTTTCCTGCCAGAATAAGACAACACTAGCAGCAGAAAGAGAATTCAGTTCTGAAGCAATCTGGTCATGAACAATCAATCTGAGGAGAAGTAGTGTGGTTTATTCCCCCTTGGCTCACAATACCACCATAAACAGTGTAAGGTGGTATTTAGTTAACTAAATTTTGAAGAAATTCTGTATTTTTGACTTAAAAAAAAAAGAAACCACCATTTTAGCCTATCCATTAAGTATTTAATTATTTATTATTTTTTTTTTTTTAGAGAAATATGCTTCTGCTCTTACCTCAACTATGTACAAATAACAGGGCAGTGGTGGAGTCCGCATCCCTAGAGGGGTTTCTAAGCCATAGAGATGTGGTGCTGAGGGACATGGCAGTACTGGGGAAGTGGTTGGACTTGATCATCTTCAGGATCTCTTCCAACCAAAACGATTCTGTGATTCCTCTTCTGTAAAGTGCTTGGAGATCTTTCCCTCCAGCATCTCTTCAGTTCTAGAGCTTTATGACAGAGGTGACTTTACCTTCTGTTTCCAACAGAGCTGTTTGTCTCCTCATTGAGAGCTCAAAATGAAGAAACTGTCCAGCTCTGTCTTGGGAACGACGGTAGTAGTTTTGGAGGGATAGTTAAATCTGTCTTACAACTAACATAACTATACCTCCCTATAAAGAATTAACAAAATGTATATTTCCCCTGTGCTGGTTGTGATGATTGTTGTTGGTTGTTTCAGAGAGAAACCACTGGCAATTGCGGGTTCCAGGGAGCCCAGAGCTGCTGTGGAGAATCTCAACGTGCAAGGAACACACGTTCCCATCAAAATCAGCAAAAAATAAATAGCTTCTGTTCTCTGGAGTCTGTCCAGAGTGCATAATGGTGCTGCACTGCTTATGTTCGTACAAGTATCCACGTCTACATGACCAATCTGTGTTTTGTTCTGCTATTAGTGTGCCTTGCTACTCCCATCTTCGGACAACTGAAAGTTCTTTAAAAGTGCAGCTACTTGGTTAAACCATCTAGTTCCAGCAAATTAAAAACCTAACAGCTTTTTATTTAAAAGCACTTTAATGGATTAGCACTAATTCTGTTTAAAAAAAAAAAAAGCTTTGATTTGGAAGATTTTTTTCTGTACAACTGCATCAGTCTCAGACTTTTTATGAAGCCTGGGAATGCAACTACTTTACTACTCTTTCCCCACACTATAACTTGCACAGCAAGTAAGCTGCCTTTTGGTTGTGTGTGGCTGAGATAATGACTAATTTTCTAGGTGGTACAACAATTAATAACAATTTGAATACACTATAGCCACTATATCTCTCTCTTTAACATCATACTGCAAATTGTCCTAGAATCCCCACATTCACCCTGATTTAACATGATGAAAAGTGAGAGGAAATACTACAGTGACAAATAATTTAAATTTTAGTTTATTAATGTTCATAAGCTGTGCTTGCATCTGTTATTTTTCCGTGCCTGAACAGTCAATTTTGTGTTTCTTTTCTGTATTTCCTTTGGAGGTGGCCCATTATTTTTCATTCTTGAAGATTCTCTGTAATAGCTTTTAATTATTCTGTAATAATACCACTGTGTCCTCAGAAACTCAGCTGTAACTATTAGTCATTAACTGGAAAAACGTGGGAGGAATTGGTTGAGTAGGCAGTAGTTTAACTGGGTAGCAAAGGATTGCACCATTTCTTCTGTTTTATACGGCAAAAAGAGCCCTGCATGAAGGAAGCCATCTCTCCTCAGCTGAGATGGGTTTATATTTTTTTGTGCCCTGTTTTGGTGAATGTAGAATAATTTAAATGGTAAGACATTGTAGTGTAGCCTTAAAAAAAAAAAAAAAAAAGGCACTATTTATATGATAAAATAGGTTTATTAAGTTAAGATTAATATTTGGCTAAAAAGGAAGTGGCCTTTAAATTGTATCTTCCTGTAGACTCTCCAGATTATTTAGTTCTGTGTTTATTAATGTGCAAAAAGAGCCAGAAGTAAAAGACAAAAAAAACAATTGTTTCTTTGCTTGTCGGATGTGATGGTCTCTTCCTGTTAATGGAGCAATAAACACCAGTGGCAATAAGTTGATGCTGTTGAACCTTTCTCCGGGCAGCTGAAGTAAGTGGGTAAGGTTTTTTGTGTTGTAACTTCAGAAATCTTTTATTTGAGAGATGCTTCTATTAAACAGAAAATATTATTCTTCTGACGACTTAGATTTTTGTCTACTGAGATAAAAAAACACAATACATATATCTAATTAATAAAAACAAGTACATACTAGAGGTTTTAAATTAGAGTGGAAACAGGCTAATATTCATTACACATTACTTTGTTATGCAAAACAATGTTCTAAACTGTAATGCAGAAGAAATCGTTCTACGTAGAAACATCTGAATCTGTAATTCTTTAATAAAGTTATTTATTATTTATGGCTGTTGTTTGGCTTCCTCTACAGCACCAAATGACTTGTGCATTATTTATTTGGGGCTACTTAGAAACCTTATGTGTGACACCAACAGCAATGCAGTGGGGGAGTGTTTCCAGAAGGAAAACAGGCATTTACCACCAAAAAAAAACCCAAAAAAAGTTGGCTAGAATGAAACTGATGGGAGTGGGGCTTAACTATGCCAATGGTTGGGCTGTTTCTCTACTTTAGAACAGCTCTTGGAGTCTTCTCTGGTCTGAAAGATGAATTGTTTCTGGTGTAATCCTAATAGTGGGGGATTTCTTTTACTATTTGAGAATGAGTACATGCTAAAAATTCTGTGAGCTATGATATGAACCTTATGCTGTGTGTTCTAACAGCCATTGTCCTGCTCTCGCTTCTAAATGTGAAACTTCATTCATTGTGGTCTTCGCTAGAGGGAAGTCAAGTAGAGTAACTGCATCAAATCCACCTTATGCCTGTAACATGGTTGTGTACCTGTAACATGGGCTTCACTGAAACTTCATTGCTATTCTAATACAACATTTGAAGTGTTACAAATCGGTACCTGTGCTCCACGCACATCATGAGATTCAACTTCATGTACTGCTACCATACAGCTATTATCTGACAAGGAGGCCACTTCTTTTGTTGTTTCCAATTAGTAACTTCAGCTGAATGTGCCTGTGAAGGATAACCTGGTAACTGATACTAGGCCTTCACAGAATCACACCATGGTGGGGGCTGGAAGGAAGCTCTGGAGCTGCTCTCCGGCAGATCACTCGCAGCAGGTTGCCCAGGATCACATCCAGGCAGGTTTGGAATCTCTCCAGGGAAGGAGACTCCACAGCCTCTCTGGGCAGCCTGCTACAGGCTCAGGAACCCTTGCACCAAAGAAGTTTTTCTTCCTGTTCAGGTGGAGCCTCCTGGGTCCCAGTTTGTGCCCGTTGCCCCTTGTCCTGTTGCTGGGCACCACTGACAAGAGTCTGGCCCCAGCCTTTTGACACTGATCAAATCCCCTCTGAGTCTTCTCCAGGCTCAGTGGCCCCAGGGCTGTCAGCCTTTCCTGGTCACAGAGATGCTCCGTGCCCCTCAGCAGCTTCAGAGCCTCTGCTGGACTCTCTCCAGCAGTTCCTTGTCTCTCTGGAACCAGGAAGCCAAGAACGGGCCCCAATGTTCCAGCGGGGGCCTCGCTGGGGCAGAGGGGGAGAAGAACCTCCCTCGACCCGCGGGCCGCACTCTTTTGGATGCCCCCCAGGAGACCCTTGGCCCCGAGGGCCCGTTTCTACCCGGTGGAATTTACCCGAGTCGCTTTTTTTTTGTAAAATCAGCTCAGATAC